TAAAAAATTATTAATAAATGAATGGTAACTTCTTCTACGTTTCAGACCTTTATTGAGTCCCCCTTTATGACACCAAAAATGCCGATGTAATCTTGGCGGTAGTGAAAAGGAATTAAACTTATGCATCGTACTTTTTATCTGATATTAAATTTCAATGATATAGATGCTGAATTAGGTGTCCAGGCCGACATTTGCATTATTTGGGACTTGTAACTTATATAAAACCCATGTGTATGTATTTATTGAGCCTCAACACAATTTGTACCTTTAATAAAGGATTTAAATAACACTTGTTGTATGTTAATGTTGCCGTTCAGGGGTTTTCTCCCTTGAGACAACTTGTGGGTCTCCCAATTCTGTATATTGGACAAAAGAACTATGAGTCAGGATTAAAGTTTATAAAAATTTATTATTGCTTGTTGTATTTAATTTGCACAATCTCTTTGAATGTTTATCCCTATTTCTTACTCCCGCAGAAATATTATTTCTCTCCCAGAATGGGAATAAAATATTCTTAAATGGGAGAATTCTGTTTTAGGGAATTATATATAAATTTACAAAAGCATAAAAGTATCTATCTTTTCCCAAAATATTGGGAGTTCTTTGCTATACAATTATATTATAGTCAGGTATAGTTATGGGAGAGATATTTTACTTCCCACTAATTTTCTCCCACAGGTTAATTCAATATAAATAGTAAAAAGTAATAATAAAATATGTTACAAAATTCATCAGCTCCCAAAAATTAATTATTAATTATCATGATTATGTTATAGTAATTACCCATCGATATCGCTCCCAGCCATGCTGGCGATGCGATGATCGAACCTATTCTGACCTATTCTAAACCCATTCTACACCTATTCTGACTGTCAGTCGATTTGCGCTGGCTTATATTGGCATCGGGCTCGATTGTCGTGACGTCACGACAAAGTGAAAATACCCGCCATGTTTGTTAGTTGATATGCTGCCATGTTGATCTAACCGACGAAAGGAAACACGCACTCTAAGGCGCGGATAATTACCGAGGGAAACATTGATAATACTTATCGCTGATGGACTTTGTAAGCATAAGCAAAACAATCATAAACAGTTCAAGCGTGACTTGGGAATGTAAGATGTCGAGGAAATTCGGGTGTCACTAATTACCGACCTCGTCCCAATTATGTACTTGGTAAATATACAATTGTCAATGGAATTAAACATACAACTAACGAAACATAATTTTCATTTTGTAGTCCAGTATATTGCATGGAGTTTTTGTTTAACTTGTACTATGTATTTCCACAGAAAATGTTACTCATAGTAACGGGAATAATTACGGAACCGTAACACGGCACCCTTCCATGTGAAGAACATTCGTCCTCGAATGGTTTTATACTTTAGTTTAGGGAATATTTAAAGGTGGGTACAAGTTTTCTATATATCCCTTAGTTACTGGCCACAAAACGACGTACATGAAAAGTGCATATTATGATTAACAATAAATTGATAAGCATATGTACATCATTCATAATATTCAACAGTTAACAAAGGTATGATCAAACAAATAAGTTATCCATGAATGAAAACATATAAACAACATTCACAAAATTAATATTTTATAGGTTAAACAGTATTATATCCATATCACTTCCTCCAATTCACAAAGAAACTTCTCTGCATTTTCTATTTCAGAATATTTCAACAGTCCATCCACAAGAGACTCTATCCGTCAGCTTTGGCTTGTCTTCTTTTATGGTTCCTGGTCCTTGATTCATCTACGGATGGCTTTATCAGTAAGAAATCTTTAGCATGGGAATTATCTATTTGTATGATTTTACAAATATCCCATTTATACTTTGAAGGAGGGAGTTTATGCATGAGATTTAAACAACGTGGGCTTATTTGATCCCAGATATGGTTTTCATCTATTGTGGTGAATAATATCCCCTTTATGCTTTGCATGTTTCCCTATCCTGTAAAGAACATCATTTATTCTTTGTAAAATAATGTACGGTCCCTTCCATTTCAGGGATAACTTTTTGTGGAGTCCCATATTTTGATTTGGGAAAAAGACCCATACAGCATCCCCTGGATTATAGAGATTTTGATGAATTTTTGCCTTGTAATCCCGTAACATATTATCAAAAGATATGCTCAATTTATTTCGGGCAAAATCATGTATTTTATTTAGCTTTTCTGATAGATTTTGGGCATATTCAGAACTTAAATTTGATTCATATTTTCAGGGTCTACTCTACCGAGTACTAAATCTAATGGGAGTGTGACTGATCGCCCAAATACCATTTCACAAGGGCTTACCCCCGTGGCCTCATGAGAAGATGATCGATATGCCAACATGAGTAAGGGTATCAGGTCATCCCAATCTTGTTGATTTTTGCTAACAAATGCTGAAAACATATTTTCAATTGTTCTATTTGCCCTTTATATCATCCCATCAGACTGAGGTCTGTAGGGAGTAGTACGAGTTTTGTCTATATCCAGTATTTTACACATTTCTTGAAAAACATCACATTCAAATGTTTGCCCTTGATCTGAATGAATTTGCATTGACACTCCAAAAATGGAGACTACATGATTTATTAATTTCTGAGCTACAGTAACTTATTTCTTATTTCTAATAGGGATGGCATCAACCAATTTGGTGAAGTAATCTCCCACAACTAGAAGATAAGAATTTTTCCTGTGAGTCATTGGTAAATGACCTAATATATCCACTGCCCATCTTTCCATTGAAGCACCAACCAGGTACTTTTGTAACGGGGCCTTTGGGAATTTATTAGATTTTCTAGCTGCACATTTATCGCAGCTTTTACAGAAATGTTTTACGTCTTGGGACATCTTGTGCCAGAAATATTTGTCTCGGGCCTTTGACAGAGTTTTATTGAACCCTAAGTGACCGCCCGTTATATTACAATGTATGTCTTTCAATACTTTCCCAGTGATAGATTTTGGGAGAACAGTTTGAAATTTTGGTTGCACACTTTCCCATTTATGATATAATATATCATCTATATAATGGAGAGAATCAAATCTTGCCCAGTAATATTTGCATGTTTCACTCAGATGGGAAATGTCTTCCCAAAGGGTTTTTTGTTTAGATTTGACCCATTTTATTAATTCCCTTAGATCTGAGTCTTTACTTTGTAAAGCCTTAATACTATTTTCTGGTTTGTCATTTTCTAGCAGTATTTTAGACTCTTCTTGTCTTGTAGGGCTTATCCCAGTGTTTGGAAAGTTTCCCTGAGACATTGTAGTAGCAGCTTTGTTTTCAGGTACAAAAATATTTATGTTGGGACTAGTAGTTAGATCACTTTGTTTAATTTCAGAAATCATTTCCTTCTTTACTTGGCTTTGGTTTTCCATGGGAGATTCATTTTGCAAGTGTTGATCTAATGAAAATTGTCTTCTGCTTTACTACAATGCTAACAATCTAAATCTCCCATGAGACAAGGTCTGCGGGACAAAGCGTCCGCATTTTTATGAGTGCGACCTGCCCGGTATTCAATTGACAAAAATTCAAACCAACGTACTATTTGACCCTCTGGATTTTTGAAGTTTAACAACCAAGATAGGGACCCATGATCTGTTCTAACTTTGAATGTCTTCCCATATAAATAGTGGTAAAAGTGCTTTATTGAGTTTACAATAGCTAGTAACTCCCTTCTAGTCACACAATAACGACGTTCAGCAGCACTGAATGTCTTGCTTTAATAACTTATGACTTTTTCTACTCCCCCTTGTTCTTGGGAAAGAACGGCTCCCAAGCCTATGTTAGAGGCATCAGTATCTAAAATGAATAAGCCTTCTTCATTAGGATAGGAAAGAATGGGAGAACTAGTTAATGCTCGCTTTAGCATGTCAAATGCAACATTGCAATTATTATCCCATATAAACTTCCTATTTGCTTCTGTAAGTTTATGTTATGGTCTGGCCATATCAGAAAATTTGTATATAAATTTCCTATAGTAAGAACAAAGACCTAAGAAGCTTCGAACTTCCTTAACATTTCTAGGAATGGGCCAATTGTTGACTGAGTCAATCTTTGAGGGATCAGTGGCTATCCCATGTTCGCTCACAATTTGTCCCAGAAATGGAACTTCTTTTTGCAACAACAAACATTTCTTTAGGTTCATTTTCAAATTAGCCTCCCTCAGTCGCCCAAAAACTTGTCTTAAATTATCAATATGCTCTTCAAAAGTTTTAGACAATATCATTATGTCATCTAAATAGACAAGGCATATTTTCCAAGAAAGATTTGATAACACTCTTTCCATTAGTCTTTCAAAAGTTGCTCCCGCATTACATAAACCAAATGGCATGTTTAAAAATTGCCAGTGACCTCCCCCTGGGATTGAAAAAGCTGTTTTGGGTTTATCTCCAGGTGACATTTTCACCTGCCAATACCCACTCTTAAGATCTATCGAAGAAAACCACTTTGAGCCTGACAAGGCATCTAATGTTGTATCAATTCTAGGTATGGGGTAACTATCCTTAATAGTGACATCATTTAACTTTCTATAGTCTATACAGAACCGGATTGTCCCATCCTTTTTCTTAACTAGGACTATGGGAGAACTCCATGGACAGTCTGATGTCTCTATTACCCCCCTATCTAACATATCATTTAATTCCTTCTTGGCCTCAGCCATTTTAGCTAGAGGAATACGTCTAGGAAGTTGTTCAATCGGGAGTGCATTTCCCGTATTTAAGTTATGCTCTACTAAATCTGTTGAACCCATGTCAACTGATGAAAGGGAGAAACTTGTTTGAAATTCCCTTAAAAGTTTTTCTAATCTCTGTTTTTCTTCAGAGCTAACGCTTGTATGGACCCTATCTAAAATTTGTTGTAAATGATTTGACATCTGGGAGTCATTCCCATTACAATTAGCCCTTATGTTTTTCAGATCTTCCCCATTCTCTATATCTTCAACCCTTTCTATCAAGGCTACTACACTACCCTTGTGTAACTTTACACTTTCGCCACCTAAATTCATATAACGTACTGGGACATTTTCCCCATCTACTTCTACCAAAGTTTTTGAAATCAATAATTCATGTTTTCCCATAAACTTTTCTGAGGGTTCCACTACGGCTGTACCCTGTTGAAAATTTGGACTTTCTATCCTAGCAGGGGCAATAAATTCACAGTTTGGGGGAATCACTAAATCTTCTAGCAAAAGAACCCTACAACAATCAACTACACTATTTTCATAACTAAAACAAGGGATTTCTTCTCCCTGAATAACAAATTTCATTTTCTTCAAACAAATCTCACATGAAAACTTTTTCAAAAAATCTACACCCAAAATACATTTGTTCTGAATGTTTGCAACAATAACTGTATGGGAAATTTCAATATCCCTAAGACTAAATTAAGGAGACACTCTCCCACAATTGGGATGTCTTCTCCATTGCTGATCTTAATTTCACACTACAAGATTTTACACTTGACTTTTCTACCAATTGTATTCTTTCAAATAATTTTGGGCTTATAATAGTCACACTAGATCCGGTATCTACTAATATTGTTGTTCTAACATTTTCTATCTTCCCTGATATAAAAATTCCCTCATCTCTTTGTTTGACATCTCCCACTAATTTACTTTTGGAACTTTGTTTATTTTGAGATTCACTTTCTAACTCCCTACTCTGACTTTTTATAGACTTGTTTGATACCGGATCAACCCCTGTACAATTGTTCAATGGTTTATTCTGGGGCTTGTTCCCAACTCGCGCCGATTTCCGCCCCATGAATTCGACGTTTGATGGTTTCCCTGTCTTTGAAAACCTGAGTCATTTCTATGAGGGGATGGCCTCTGGGAGTATTGATTCCCCTGATTAGATCTATTTCCATAACCATTTCTTGACCCATATCTGTCATGTTCCCAATTGTTAAACTGTATGGGACTATTGTTTGAAAATCTGTTTTACCTGGATCTCCCATAATTTTGGGACTTTTGACCAGAACTGTTCAAACTCGACAAAGAGTCTTGTATGTCTTTTAGTAAAGAAATAACTAAATCTTCTCTTTTATTGTTGGGATGGTTCTGGGAGTCAGTGTTTGAAGTGACAGCATGGACTGGCTTTCCTGTTTGGGCGTCTGCCATTTTATGTGTCTCTAACCTAATTGCTAAAATTTCAGCTTCCCCAATATTTTTAGGTCTTGCCTCCCGAATTCTAAGGCGCATATCCGGGTGTGGGAGAGCGTCAATAAAATGATCTAGGGCTAAAATATTTGTAAGGTTAGGATCAGCAGTTGGGTAGGATTGTCTGATTAATTTCTTGATTGACTGAGCCAATTCTGATAGGGACTCTTTTTCTCCCTTAATTCTATTTTTCAGTCTTGCCCGATACATCTCTGACCTTTCTACTGATCCAAAACGCATACTGAGAACTTTTACAAGGGAATCAAAATCCCTAATCTGAGCTTCATTGAGCTCCTCTAAAATTGCCCTTCCATTCCCAGTTAAACAACTAGCAAGATACAAAGATTTCGTCCTATAATCCCAACCATGCAATTCTACTAAAACTTGAAATTGTTCCAAGTAATCTTCAAAATCTTCCACCCCATCATATGTTTGTGGCTTTATTGAGACTGTTGGTTTTACTTGATTGGGAGAATGTACGCTATTGTCATTTCTGTTCACCCTTGGGGATATTGGTTTCCTGAAAGATTCAAATCTCTCCCCAGCCCCTAGAAATGGTGATTGACTAGGATTTTTAGAACAGTTCCCATATGTATGTGTACCAATAGCTTCCCCATGATTTTCAAGTGATGACAACCTCCCATGTAATTGATGGGACTCGTGTCTCATTTGGGATAATTGTTCTTCAAAATTTTGATTCATGCATAGAACATCTCTTTTCAAACCTTCAACAGCTCTTGACAAAAGTTCATTTATATTTTCAGAAACACTGGGAGCTGATGTATGATTTGACAAAGATTCATCTTGACAGATTTCTTCATGGGATAAATTTTCTACTTCTACCGGGACTCTTGGATTGAAAACAATCTCTCCCGAATCTTCTAAATGACTACTATCCCTTGACATTTTTGCTTTTGGGAGTACTTATTTATTCTATGATATAAAGAATTTACTTGTTCAATTGTTTGTTTTATGTCCAATCAGATAATGGGAATAAAAATTTATGAATCCCACTTCTGACACCAATGTTGCCGTTCAGGGGTTTTCTCCCTTGAGACAACTTGTGGGTCTCCCAACTCTGTATATTGGACAAAAGAACTATGAGTCAGGATTAAAGTTCATAAAAATATATTATTGCTTGTTGTATTTAATTTGCACAATCTCTTTGAATGTTTATCCCTATTTCTTACTCCCGTAGAAATATTATTTCTCTCCCAGAATGGGAATAAAATATTCTTAAATGGGAGAAATAAGTTTTAGGGAATTACATATAAATTTATAAAAGCATAACAGTATTTGTCTTTTCCCAAAATATTGGAACTTCTTTACAATACAATTATATCATAGTCAGGTATAGTTATGGGAGAGTTATTTTACCTCCCACTAATTTTCTCCCTCAGGCTAATTCAATATAAATAGTAAAAAGTAATAATAAAATATGCTACAAAATTCATCAGCTCCCAAAAATTAATATTTAATTATGTTATAGTAATTACCCATCGATATCGCTCCCAGCCATGCTGGCGATGCGATGATCGAACATATTCTGACCTATTCTAAACCCATTCTACACCTATTCTGACTGTCAGTCGATTTGCGCTGGCTTATATTGGCATCGGGCTCGATTGTCGTGACGTCACGACAAAGTGAAAATACCCGCCATGTTTGTTAGTTGATATGCTGCCATGCCGATCGATCCGACGAAGGAAACACGCACCCTAGGGCGCGGCTAATTACTGTGGGAAACATTGATGATACTTATCGATCATGAACTTTGTAAGCCTACACAAAACAATCATAAACAGTGTAAGCGTGACTTGGGAATGTAAGATGTCGAGGAAATTCGGGTGTCACTAATTACCGACCTCGTCCCAATTATATACCTGGTAAATATACAATTGTTAATGGAATTAAACATACAATTAACGAAACATAATTTGTCATTTTGTAGTCCAGTATATTGCAGGGAGTTTTTGTTTAACTTGTACTATGTATTTCCACAGAAAATGTTACTCATAGTAACGGGAATAATTACGGAACCGTAACATTAACACAAAGCAAAGCGACTCACAATTTCTGTTAATATCACCCTTGAGTCTCAATGACTTTTTTTCTCTCTTCTGATTTAAATTGGTATGTAATTTTACTGAGTTTTTTTTTTTAGATCTTTACTATAGTAGTGGAATTTTCAAATTTCTTTTCATGTAAAAAAAAATTAAGTTATTTTCGAGAAACATCTGTTTATGCACAAATATAAAATAGCAATATATCTAACTGTTTCATCGGGAAAATTGTTTGAGATCGATGCATTTCAATAACATGATAGAGCCCACCTTTCTCCGAATGTCAATAAGAAATTGTTGTTTCAAAGAAAATCAAAGAAAAAAATCCCGATTCATTGTTATGTTAATATTTTAAAAGAATTTTATGCACGAGAATAATTCTTCAAGATATATTGTTATTGGTTTATCGTATTTTAAAAACAAGCATAGGCATAAAGTTGTAATGTTTATTTAGGTTTTTGTTGCATATAGTATCTCTTTTTGTTAACTTTTATACATACATGTATATTAATTTTTTTCCAAAACAAAATGCTTACAATGTACCACAATTCATGTTAGTCTCACCTCACACACAATTTGCTTATTTTTTCCAAATGAATAGTTTAAAGAGAAATATTACCTCCTTTATAGGTGATGTCATACACTTTTAAGACATGTGTTTTGTTTATGTACATCACCTAGAAGATTTGGGATTTCTTAATCGCAGCGCATCAAACGGGATATTAGTCTAACATAAATTGGTTGTTCTAATGTTTAGGGCCTATATTTCTTTTCTCACTTTTCTCATTTTTAATTTTTGCCCTTAATGAAATGACATGAAAACAAACATAATTATAGCAAATTTTCAATTGATACATATTTTAAGTAAATGTAATACATATGGGGTCAAAGGATTGGGGATCTGGGAGGAGTTTTACCTGAATGAGTTTGTCAGCATGTTTTCTTAATAGTTATCACGTACATTAAAACGGATTCCTTGATATCCTTCTAGCATTTATTATTTTAAAATGTAAATGAGATTTTTTTTATATTTTGTAATTCGAACATTTTTTGTAATGAAAACGTGTGTGGGGGGGGTTGTATGTTATTTTACGTCCATCTCCAGAGGTTCAAAAATTAACGAGTAACCGGGGACTAAAGATAATGCCATATTGAGACTCGTCCTTTATTGATATTTGAAGAAAATGAATATTGCTTCAATATTGTTTTTTTCCATTTCAGTACATATACATAAAAAAGCAACAATGTTCACGTGAAGAGCATCGTCTCCTAATCATCACTACGACAACACATAAGTTCCCCTCTTATGGGATCCCATGGGAGGTATCATGTATTGCTCTGAGAAGGTTGAATACCTAGGTAGTTTTACCAATATGACGCTATACCATGAAATTTACAAAACTGACACTGTTCAAGCTTGGTGATTTAAATATTTCATATCATACTCTCAGAAAATACATATCTGTTTAAGACTATAAATTTCACTGATTAAATGTTTGCACCAATTGAACGGTAATAAAGGTATTTTAATGCGTACTGTCTGTTGTAGGTATACTTAGTAGGTGTAAGTTACTCTAAGTACTTTATTTTCTTCACATTCCCAGTATGATACTCAGCAACAAACAAATAATCATTTTTGTCCACACATATTCCATAGGGATTCTCCAATTCAGCGTTATCTATATAATTTATGAATTTTCCATCCTCGTCAAGGACATGGATACAGTGATTATCGAAGTCTGCTGTCAGAATATGACTTTGGCTATCTGTTGCTATCCCATAAGGTCTAAACGGTTTATTCTTAGAGGAAGAAGGATGGCCAGTGTATCTAAATCGGAGGTTGCCGGTGTCGCTGACCACTACTACAGCACAAGCCTCCCAGTCAGACAAACAGATATCTAGATTTCTGTTTTCAGTGATGTACTTAATTCTGTTTTTTCCTGAATAGAGAGGTTTGCTTTCATTTTCAAACTGTATAGTTTGTTTCTCTGTGGAACCTGAATAACGAACAACTTTGGATTCTGTTTCGTCATCATTGAACATGACAACCAGGATATCACCAGAGGAACTGACACAGAGATTGAGAGGTGTCCAGCCCTTTAATCTGATCAACTCATTTGATTGACCATACTTTACTTCATTCACAGTCTTCGTTTTCCAGTCACAGTACACTAGGTTTCCATCTTTATTAATTGTTATATCATTAGGCCATTCATTTGATATTGTTTTTATTGTTTTTATAATTGAGCCTTGAATGTTAAAGCATTTCATATTACTGGTATCGCGTGCATTTGTCCAGATCTCTTCTTCACTGTTACAAGTGACATTGCGGAATTGTTGATACCCGGTTTTTACCATAGAAATAAGCTCTGGTACTTTCATTAGTTCTTTGGACAATGTTCCTGCTTCCTTAAGTCTGTAGCCATTCTCATCTTTTGTCGATGATAATGGTAACAAAGATCCAATCAACTTGTAAAGCTGCTCTATATCTATTGTATTTGGAATAAACAATGGTAGTGATACCTGAACTTTGGGAGGAAGTTTGCAGAATTCTTTGTTTTTAGAACTGTATTCCGTTGTTTTGGATACTTCAGTTGATTCTTCAATTTCACTCAGTTTTATCTGTGTCTCTTCAATAAGATTTTGTATACTTTTAATTTCATCCAAATGTTCTTTTAGGATGCTCATGTGTTTCAATTTTATGTCTTCAATTTCTGCTTTTATTTTGTCCATAAAGATTTTAATTTGTCTGTGCCATTCTTCACCCTGTTTCAACATTGCTTTGATAAGTTTTTCATATTCTCCATCTAAGTTAGCTATCTGGTTTTCTAAATCACTTTTTATTTCGTCGTAGGTTGGAGACAGAATATTTTTTAATTCTTCTGTGTCTTTTGCAATGACTTTTCGTTTTTCATTATAGATATCCAAAAGAGCAGAAAAATTATGTCCCTTATGTGTATCAGACATTGCAGTGCATATAGAGCAAACAGAAATGTTGCAGTCTTTGCAATGAAATTTACATTTTTTTGTCTGATGTGTTGTGCATTTTGGATAAATCAAGGTTGATTTTCTTTTTTGGAATGGGACAACCTTATGTTTGTCGTAATCATCAGAAATATGTTTTCCAATGCAAGAGATGCAAAGATTGACATGACAGAAATCACAGTACTTGGTCGCTATATCTGTATCGCAAAGGTCACAACGGATGACATCTTGGGCACTCTTGGGATCCATGTGAAATCTAAAATGTGAATGATGTGCTAAAATTATTAAACAAGAAAAGGTTTCTTTCTATACTATTTTTCAAATGAAAGATGTGTACTTTAAAAGCCTCATTATCTATATAGACAAAGAATCGATGGTTATTTGGATTTGATAATAAATTATCAAATTATATTGCAATCTTTTGTTCAACTTTTAACTTTTTTATCCTACTTTATTCCTACAGTGTACTATTTTTGAAACTTCATAATTAAAAAAAATATTTTGTAGGACTTGGGGTCGTATTATTTTCTTTGAAAACGAAACTAGATAAAAGCCTCATTATCTATATAGACAAAGAATCGATGGTTATTTGGATTTGATAATAAATTATCAAATTATTTTGCAGTCTTTGGTTTCAACTATTAACTTTTTTTATCCTACTTTATTCCTACTATTTTTAAAACGTCATAATTAAAAAAAATATTTTGTAGGACTTGGGGTCGTATTATTTTCTTTGAAAACGAAAGTAGATTTAAATCTAACCTATTAAGTAAACATAATTCTCATAAAAAAAGTTATCTATTTCACTACTTTAGTAAAAATTTTGGGATTAATAGCTCTTTGTTTATCAATTCCAGCCTAAATGGGTCAGGGGTAAATAGAATGTTTTAATATTAAATTGATATTGCCCTTAGGCCTATAGAACTCAGGCACAGTAAGACTATTCTAACTAAGTATGTCAGATGATACATCCATTTCATCTTCTATCTTGTACTTACCTCTATACTCAAATTATTTCAATCAGGTGAAGCGACTTCTAATAATAAACAATAAACTTGTTTCTTTACTGTGAAAAAATAATACAAAATGGCTGACCTTTTCACAAGCTGGTTGCTCGCTTTCAGGTCTTGCGTCATAAAGAGTTATCTTTCTTCACATTGGAAAATAAGAATAAATGTATTTATGCTGAAATAGTTTGTTTTCGCATTTTAGTAAATACAGCTCAACTAACTTTTTTAATTCAAATAATTTTCTGCAAAAAGGTTAGGGTTTATTGTTAAACTTGATTCATGAAAAGAAACAATGACTAATTTTGAAGAGCATTTTTTCTAATTAATCTATTTTATATTTTTAAAATAAATGTACGACGGTTGTCCAAAAAGTTCGTGGACAATGACTTTTTTGTTAAAATAAACTATATATTTTTTTGTATTTCAAAATATTTCTTATGAAAAACCAAGTCAGAAAGATATCATTTTTTTAGGTAACTTAAAATTTCTGTAAAAATCGGGGTCTTTCAATGTCGCAGATAGTGTAGACGGACCAAGGTTAAAATGCCATTAAGTTTGACATAAAGTATTTGGAATGAAATGATTATATTTTAAATAAAACAAGTCAAAGCTCAGTAAAAATTATATGTTACACAAAAAAGAGGCCATTATCATTTTTCTGATATCTAAAGTATCGGTTACTATATAGACAGTGTAAATGTTAAGCAAAAACCCTTACAAATATGTGTCAAAACTCGACAGAGGGCAGCATCCGATCAAAACATTATGTTTTAATACGATTGAAACGACATCAGAGACAAAATATTTGTTCAAACAACTCAAACTTATTAGAATATATTTTGTTTTATGTTTTGAGATTGGTTTTTTCGATTTTTCAAGACACGACAAGGATTAGAAAACATATTTTATATTTAATGAAAATGGATATTTCTATTCAAGTTGTTGTTATAAATCTAGCGCAACATCAGACTGGACTGTGCAGATTATGTATACGAATTATTTATATTGATGACGCTCGTAAAGTATTGTGTATTGTTTTGAATTTTAAAAATTAAATGAATTACTGTCTATTCTTTAACATTTTTGCTAGCACTTTGCAGTGTGACATAATATAGAAAATGCAGTGTGTGTCCATGATCATGTATAAAAAATTAAAATTCCAGATGTTTGACGTTATGATGAAATTAGCTTTACGTCAAACTGGTCCATATGCACACTATCTGTGACATTTAAAGACCCCAATTTTTACAAAAAGCTGTAGTTAGATCAATGAAAATGATATCTATCTGGTTTGGATTTTCATAAGAAATATTTGGTAGACAAAAAAGTATAAAGAACCATTTATTTTAACAAAAACGTTTAATTACTTTTTAGCCGGGCTTATTGCTCAAAGAGCAATTGCCGGCTTATGTGATCCTGTTCAAGGCAGGATGTTAACCCCATAGTCGCCATTTTAAAGTTACGTGCCAAAATATAGTTCCTACTCTCAACCGCTTTTGATATAATAAAAACGCCGAATAAAGCAACAAAAATAAAACGAAGTTTTATCTTTATAAAATAAACATTAGTAGTAATGACTTTGAAAACTTCATAAGTCAAAGAACATGTAGTTCATTAGCGTAAGGATTTTTGATAATCAGTTTTACCGTACTTCTCTGCTCATGCGAGGTAAAGCAGAGAGGGAACCAGAATGGCCTGTTTGTTTACAATCATTCAGCTGCGGTACCAGATTAATTCTGATTCTGACAAAATCGGTCCGTGGTATTAGGATTGAAAAACTCACTGTCAGTGTTTTATCATTTATATTGATAGTTTTAAAATAATTTTTCATCAGAATATAAACGTGATTCATGTAAGAAATCCATTCTACTTCGTAAATGAGCCCAGATCTCTGTACTTCTGAGTACTTTGATTTATTCTGTGGGGCTTGATATGAACAGCGTTCATGCAAACTTTTTATGACACTGGTGACAGCTGTAACTACTGTGAAATAACAAATTTTTGGGGGGTTAAATTTTCGTTGTTTTCGAGGTAGAACGAGACCCAAGAATTCATAACCACCACGAAATGTAAAATTTTACATACATAAGAACTCATTAATTCTTGATCCACGAAATCAGATCCCCATGAACCAATAGATTTTCCTCAAACCACGAGAATTTGACCCCACGAAAATATGTGATTTTACAGTATATCCGTTTCTAAATGTATTTCTTCTGGCTGGGAAATTTCTTGGACTTTTGTTTTAATACTTCGAGATCCTGAATTTTATTTCGCAAGATTTTGCTGATTTTTGTAGGGTTTTGTGAGAATCAATCAACGTTTACATGTTGGAGATAATATGGCATTAATTTGGGTTTTTTTTCACATGTAGTTTCTTTGAATTCGATTATCAAATTAACATTAGTGTTTATTTTTGGAAATATTTCATTAATATTCTTCCAGTATTCAATGTGATTAGTACATTAGTTATTGTTTTCCGGGGATCCTTTTTAGGATATTAAACAGTTTCTGTTATGAATTAATTTCGTATACTGTTTCTTATTAAACAAGGGGAATGCATGCCATACCATGTTTATTGGATTAACAAATTTTGACATAATATAACATTGTTCAGGATTTCAAAAAGTTTTAGAAATAGGGGATTATTATTCTCGAGCTCCCATCAAATGAAATAGAAATTTCAGGTTGTGGTCAGTTAAAAACAAAAAGGAAACGTTTTATGGAATCTATACTTACATTTATTTGTCATATTGCAGATCTACTGATTATTCTTTGACTAAAAATATAACAGATATATACATACTACTTCCTGCATACTGATTTTTTCCATTCCGAGCTAAGTGTATCAAGAGAAACACCCGACTTTCTATCCGCTATATAAAATATTTGTGTATTTTTCATCGATAACGACTTACGCCCTATTATGACTTTTCATAGCATTGTTAAAGACAATTGCAAGTGTAGAGATTTATCAACGAATAAAAGATGAATTTGTATCAAATGACACAGAAGTTAAAGTTTTCGTCAGTAACAGGATGCACCTCAAAGGAAGAATACATTGGATGTGACGGACAACGGAATCGAATATGTAAATAGCTTCAATGCTTAATTAAGGTCTTCCGTTTCCAACGGAAGACCTTCTACTGATTCTGATGGTAAAGATTATTATTCTTTTTTTTTCTTCTACTTCCTAGACCGCAACTTTGAGGCCTCATGTCTCACTCATTTCTCAACGGATTTCGCTCAAATTTTCAGAGGGTATAGACGTTTATAAACTCTACCAGAATGCAGACTAAAATTTCAAAAAGTCACTTCCGGTTTTGAGTTATTTCCCTTTAAACGAAAATTTATAGGCTTTCGTTTCCGGATAAAGGCTCAGAGACCACAAAAGCTAAAGCATAATTTTTACTGATTTTGGATAACAGAAGGATTGAAGTTGTGCACATCGGTTTTTGTTTTTCGATTTCTGTATTCACAATGGCGCTATATAGGGGTAAAATATTAGAACGCCTAAAAGAGCGAAAATTTAAACATATTTTCCTTTTTATCTTGAAAACTAAAAATATTTTGTTAAGACATAATGAACAAAAGTTGTGCATAATTGCAAGGGCTTTCATATAATAATATTTAAAAGGGGCTGGCCCCTATAATTAGGGATCAAGGGACCTTGAAAGTTTTTGCTTTATAACTCAAAAACGGTAAATATTTCGAAATGACTATCGATTATAAAGTTGTGCTTTAACATCTTACTGATCTCATGAAATTGTTATTGTGTTCGAGTCTTGTTTTAAATGAGCTGGTGCATGACCTATGTATGCACAGGTAATTCTCTTCACTCAGTACGTAAACGAGAGCTCCTCATGCGTGTAACCAAAGCAAGCTTACTATGAATAATAAACATGGCTACATTGGATGCTAATATTCTTCAGAATAAAGTTATCGAAGTGTTTGTGCTTTTTTTCTTACAAATTATCATGTTTATTCACTGACAACTTTCCCTTTTTATTTCATTTTTTTTTTAAAAATCGTATAAACCAAGTCTACTAAAAAGGGAAGAAAAGATTATATTTTCTTCTTATCACATAAAAGCAAACAATATAGTGAGAAAATAAAACATAACTTAAAAGCACATATACTATTCACAGCGCGGATTTAACATTCACCTTGTTTGTTTACAATTATATAACGCGCCTACCTCTTTAGCGGCAGGGCAAAGTCGGTCACCGAGAATCAATCGGCATGTGATCCAGCGACCTACAGTCATACACAAAAAATAAACCACCACAGAATGATTAAATTCATTCTTGATAAAATTGTTCCTTTTTATACAATCTCTGTCCCATGAAAATATTATTTTGTTTGTGTCTTATGTATGGTAGGAAAGAAAGCTAGATCCGTATTCACCGTATAAACAAGGCTCCGTTCTCATTTTGATATTGAAGAACTCTTTTGCGTATAATTGATATAAACTTGCCGTAAGAAATATTTTACCACGCTGTATCATATCTCTTTTTTTAAATTAGGTTTTGAACGAGTTCTTTGTTTCCCGTTCAGGGTATTTGATGGTATCATTTTTCTTTTATTAATAAAGATCTTTCCAAGAGAAAGAGTTATAGAAAAAAAAATGTACGAGTATCTTTTATTCGTTTGAATATAAACACAAACAATTTGAACGGAAACAATAAACGCCCGGATTTCATTTTAAAAAACTTTTAAGAGTCAAATAATACACAATTATTTACTGCGCGATTCTCATATTCACTTAGAACACAGATTCTAAGTGTGTTTGGCATTACGTAATCTATCTTTTGATTACACACGGCCTAGAAATTCTAAAGCGACACACCGTGGTGAACCATTGACCCCGCAGTCATAGGCAAAATAATTGGTATATATTCACAAACAATTCTACAACAGAAAAAAAATATTTTTTTTTCTCTAAGTAAATTAAATCTTTCAAAAAATATTTTAAAATGTTTTAGGTTTGACTTTAGTACAAAACGCAAGGGCATTTATTTTACATGTACATTAATCAGTCTTTAATTCTTCAATATTCGTTAGTTCCATGTGTCATGTGTGTAATTTGACGATTCATAGCGCAA